GAAAAAAAAAACGTTAGTAAGATAAAAATATAAATAATGAAAGTAAAAATGAAAAGATAAACTGCATGAGTAAAAGAACATCCTAGGTTTTGAAATGAGGTTTCAGGGTAGGCTCTAATTCCCTGTAGTCTTTTGGTTTAGGTTCTAAAGAAGTTACCCGAGTTCTCCTTGCCGGTGCCCTCTTGGACCTGCCAAACCCTTAGTCCTAAGCCCATTACAAGCTTATGTGGACTAAGTTAAACTCGAGAGGATACATTCCCTTATGCCCATATGGAGAATAAATTTACACAAAGACATAAGATATATGAATCCCGAAGGTTACTTGTTATACCCATATGGATAATAAATTCTCCTGAAAGCGTTGCTTTCACCCCCACTTAAAAAACGGGTTTGGAGCTCGGGTATAGAGCCTTAGATGGAAAAAAGTTTGATAAGCTGAAACCATTGAAAGAAATCATCAGTACAACTATTTATTTGAAAAGATAATCAAATGTAAGTAATAAGGATCGAAAAAATTACCTTAAAAATTAAACTTACCTTTTTCCCTTAAAAACACAACTGGAAATTAACCTTAGCCCGACTCACTTACCTGTCCCCAACAGAGTCGCCAAGCTATCATGGTTGCCTTTCGGGTAGGCCCGTAATTGGGCTTCGACTTGAATGAAATGGTTAGAGTCTCCACCGATCATTTTAAAACAATATTTAGGCTGATCGGACACCATCTTACCTGATCTGCATCTTACCAAAGATATGTCGGATTCGGGAGTCAGTTACAGGAAATGAAGGATTAACACCCTTGAACTGCCCTTTCGGTACTAATTAATTTACAGTTATCTTAATTAAGAAAATTGTAAGTTAAAGAAAAGGTAAAATATGATCCAAATTACTTACCTTTAATGGATTTAAAAACATACCCTTAAAAAAGTCAAGAAAAGTGTTAGATGTAATAAAGTGCATAATCGAATTAAGATAAAAAAAATACATGATGGTGAATTAAAAGAAGTAAAATAAAACAAAGCAAATAGAGGGGCAATCGAATTAAAGTAAAAAGAAAGATAAAATGCATAAACATAAAAATACTAATTGCAAAATTAAATATAAACAAATACTACAATAAAGAAAAGAAGTAAATAAAAACCCTAAGAAATATCTAAATAAAAAAATTAATCTCCAAAAAAGGAAAGTAATGAAATAAATAACATAAAATAAAGTACAATAAAAACAAAATAGATAAAATAAATAAAACAAAACAAAACAGAAATAAAATAAAAAAATAAACAAAAAACAAAAAACAAAAAAACAGAAAATAGAAAATTAAAAAATTAAAAAATTAAAAAATAGAAAATAAAATAAAAAAATAAAACTACGATATATATATATATATAAATAAAAATAAATAAATAAAAAAAGGATAAAAAATATATATACATATAAATAAAACGTTATGTGAAGAAAAATAACAAAAAACAGAAAATGAGGAAAATAAAATAAAAATTGTTGAGTTAATCAATCAATGAATCGGCCAAGAAGGGGGTGAATTGGTAATAAAAATTTTGATGGCTTGACTTCTCAACCAAGTCTACGTCCACTACCTTAGCTATCCACACTAAGGATCTTCCATAAATTCACTAATTTGTCTTTCTTTTGAGGACAAACAGTAACCTTACAACTCCCTCAAGAATTATACCCTAAATTCTTGAGAACACTCTCTCCCAAAGAGAAAATTACAAATTTCGCAAACTTACAGAAAACCTCTCAAGGCAAGATGTTTGCACAATTCTATAACAAAGAAAGAACACTCAAGAATAAATACAATTGAGCACAAATGGTGTTCTTGAAAACAAAATGAATATTGAATGGAAATAGGCTTGAAAATGCTCAAACGATAAGTTCAAGGCTTTCTCTTTGATTCTCTCTCAATTCTTGTTTATTGTTGTTGATCAATGGCTCCTGAGCTTATTTAAATACACCTTGGATCACTTCTGAACGTTGGAGATCATTGGTGAAGTCAATAGAACCATTATGGTGTAATTATCATTTAAAAATTTTGTTAGGACTGTGGGTGTATCGGTACACTCAGTGTAAAATTCAAATATTTCGACTGTTGGTTGACCTAGTGTATCGGTACACTTGGGGTGTATCGGTACACTAATTATATTCGATGTTTCTCGGAGCCAGGGGTGTATCGGTATATCAGCCAGTATATCGATACACAAAATGCATTCGATGTAGGGGGTGTATCGATACATCCAAGAGTGTATCGATACCTCCCTTTGTAAAAATCATTTTTTGCCCGATTATGGTTCAAAATACTTTGTAAAAATTATTTCAAAAATATTTTAAGATTAAAACATAATTTTACACTTAAGTAAGGTTTAAAATTGACATTTGAAAACTTGGAGTAATATTTTGATATTCGAATAATTTACTCGAATATTAAGTTTGAAATCGAATATAAAATCTTAAAATTCAATAAGACTTTATTTGTTATATCGAAACATCAAAATGTTTTCAACAAAAATAAAAATAAAAATATATAAAAATAACAATATTAAAAAAATAATAAAAAAATAAACAAAAGGAAGAAAAAAAGTATACAAAAAAGTATATAGATAAATATTAATATTAAATTAAATAAATATATATAATAGCAATAATAAAGGACTAAATTGAAAAAGAAATAAAATAAGAGGTAAAATTTGAAATGAAATCAAGGTTAAAATTGAATTTTAGGGGCAAAATGAATCTTTAAAACAAGCTAGGGACTAAAAACAAAATTAACCCATTTTCCCTCAGAAACACGCGGATCCTAGGATCCGTGGTTCGGGTTATCGGGCCGATCAGGTTGCGTATAAAAGCCAAAAATTAAACACCCCAACTCATTTTATTTACCCCAAGACGAATCAAAAACCAAAATTTCAATTTTCTCTCAAGCGTTCTTCATCCTCGAAGAACACGACCGCCTGGGTTCATTCGGAATCCGGCCACAGCCGCCTCACCGGCCGCCATTCATCGGCGACGAAACCCAATTTTTTTTGCATTTTTGAAAGCATTTTTTATTCTTTCTTCAAAAATCCACATTGTTTTCACAAAATAGACTCGGGGGGCTAGATTCGAGAAAGATCTTTCGAGTCTCTCCCCCTCTGATCATCGGCTTTTCGAACCAACAACAAAGAAAAAAGGAACCACCGCTACATGCTAGTGCAAAAGAAAATCGAATAAGGTAAAAATACATTTTTATTGCCTTTATTTCGAGACTTACAAGTAGGTCTATACTCGATTTCTTTTGTATTTTTGCTTTGTTTTCCCTTGTATATTTCTTGTATTTTCGTGTGTAATTTCTAAGTATCCTTTCTTGTGTTTTTTACATTTATTTATAGATCTACAAAACCCTATTTTTGGGTTCAGTTTTAGTGTTTGATCTTGACTGAAATGCTTGTTTCCTTGTTTGTTGTTGAGTCCTTTGAATCCACGTTGTTGTGCCGAGAAAAGCGGTCGTGGGTTGCGGTTGGGGCGAGGAGTCTTCGAATGAGGGAGATGCGACTGGAACAGTACTGAGGGAATAATAGTTAGGGTTTGAAAACCCTAACTATTTGATTCGGGTAGGGCTATAGAGGAACCGGGTCTCGGGTCGGGTTCCAGATCCGGGCTGCTGCTTGTTGGATCGCTGTTGGGTTTATTTGTACTTGGGCTTTAGGCCTGGTTCTGTAAATTATTAGTTGGACATGTAACAGAATAATAAACAAGTTAATATGTATATGTAATAATATAGGCTATATAATTAAAGTATATAACATACTATGTATATATTATATATAATACATATACACTATATACCCTAAATCATAACACATTAACTATATAACATAAATATCATATAACAAAGTTGGACGAAAATGTGTGTCGACAATATGAAAAACCTACTTTGCTATTCGAATGGAAATAATTTTATATTAATATTTATATAGTCATAATTACTTAAAAAATATTGTTATTAAATAATAACTTGGAATTAAATTTATCCAAGAACCTATCCACATGGCAAATATTTTTTATGACGCTATTGGATTTTTTTTATTTAAGGTGTTAAGAGAATTATTTTTTTTATATAAAATGGATTGTTATAATATACGAGTTACCTAAATAATTATAACGTTTTTAAGAAGACGCCTGAACGATATGATATTTTTAACCTAGATGCATTGTTATAAACTTTCACCCATACATATAATTATAAAATACATCGTATAATCTGAACATCTTCCTGAAGACGTCGTATCATCTCGGCAACCTCCATTATACACTAAAACAATCATACTACTTAGAAGAATAATTTTACACACATCCTAAATGTTTTTTCCCATTATAATATCTAAGCAATTTTATTTACCCATTCACATGTGTACCTGACTCATTATTTAAGTAAAAAAAAAGGATAAAACAACTTTCAGTCTCTAATCTTACAAGTTTTCCTAATTTGGTCCTTGAAACTTCTTTTGTCTACGTTAATCGGAAAAATTGATTTTTGGTCATTTTTTATGACGTCTTAACATGAGATACTCATCATCAAAATGATAAAAGAAATCCAAGTTTAAGGATTAACATGGAAAAAAGTTAAGGGACAAAATTGAAAAATATTGATAAGTTCATCGATTAAAAGATACTTTATAAAAAAAAGTCATTTTTAAGAGAATATATTATAAATTTTGAAGTCTGTTTAATTTAATGCATAGTACATCTCAGGCCGAATAAGCTGTTATTCTCTGTCTGTGTGCAATGGAGGGTCCTTAGCTTTCTCTCTCTTAAAAAAAAACTCATTACTTATTCCTTTTTTTTTTTTTTTGCTGTCTTCTAAGTTCCAAGTGAAAATCAAACCAAAATAAAGAAAGGGTTTTGATTTTGATCTTCTTCTTTGTTTCTAATACGCCAAATCCCATCAGGTAGCTTTCTCTTTTCTTTTTCTAGTTAGTGATGTTTGTTTCGTGAGAAAGCTCACGTGAAATTAAAGGGTAAAAATGCAGGAGTCTCGTTTGAGTTAGTTCTTCTCTCCGTAAGTTAAAAAGAGTCAAGCTCAGCTTGACTCTTGGTCTTAAGCTTGAGTTTTAATAAGAATTCTAATTTTCTAGCCATTTTCTCAGTAACCAAACATTCTACAACTATTTGCGTCATATATATATATATTATCATTTTGCTCTTCAAAAAATAATTAGAAAAATCTTTCCTTTTATCCCTTCTTTTGGCGCGTGCTGGATTATTGTTTTTTTCGCCTTCTTTCGCATGCATTAACATTTACCCAGCAGAAAAAACTTTAAATGCAGCTAAATTTCCATTGAAACAATTTGCTTGGTATTTGTTTTCTTCGCTCAATAATTTCATAGGAGGTTTTAAGAATTGAAAAGGTGATGTCTCATACTTGAGATCCCCGCTGTTTTATTTGATCTTCATCCTTTAATGTCTCTAGTTTCATAAGGATCTATTTAAAACTCTCTGTTGTTTAATTTGTTTGGGGATGGGTTATCATTACTCATAGGTCCTGTTGCCAGCTGTTGCTTTAAATATGCAGCTTTAGCTTCTCTAAATCTTCAAATAATAAATCTGGTTATCTTTGAATTTAGCAGGCTGTCAAGTATTGACTGTGTTGATTCCGATGTCTCCACCGCTGATCGGCGTGGAGGAGGAAAGCGGTTCGAGTAAGATAACTTTACTCGGTACTTCAGGCTCCATGGATAGTGTGTGCCAGAACAATGCCGAATTGAAGGAACGCAACTACATGGGCTTGTCTGATTGTTCTCCCATGGATAGCTCTATTGTCTCCCTTGCATCCGAGGAAAGCAAGTCTAGTTTGAATCTGAAGGCAACTGAGCTTAGTCTTCGGCTTCCTGGATCCCAGTTGCCTGAAAGAAATCCGGAGCTTTGCTTGCTAAGCACAGCTCAACTCAATGAGAAACCCCTTTTCCCATTGCATCCTTCAAGTGATGGTCACTGCACTGCATTGCAGAAGACTGTTGTTTCAGGCAACAAAAGAAGGTTCTCCGATGCCATGGATGGGTTCTCTGAGGTAGAAACCATTGCGATTTATGAAGACCGAGACTAATGTATAACAAATCTAACCTGCAAAGTACATAATATGTGTTGCAGGGTAAATTTCTTTCTAACTCAAAAGTAAGTGTGATGCCGTCATCCAGGAGGCCTTCTTCGAACTTGGGACTGAAATCAGGTTATGTGCTTGAGAACCTTGGGTCTCAATCAACAAAAGCCAAAGAGATCACGAACCTGAATGTGGTACAGGATAGACCTTGTCATGCTAATAATACCATGCCCGATCCTAATGCGACTACAAACGATAACAGTGGAGCACCAGCTATCAAGTACGCGTGCTTGGTTTTTGTTATAAATTTAGATTTAACCATGATAAGATTCTCTGATCATCCTTCTTTTTCAGGGCACAGGTTATTGGTTGGCCACCTATTAGAGCATTCAGAAAAAACTCACTGGCCTCTAATTCCAAGAAAACTGATGAAGTAGATGGAAAGGTCGGGCCTGGTGCCCTGTTTGTTAAGGTCAGCATGGATGGTGCTCCTTATTTACGGAAAGTGGATTTGAGAAACTACTCTAAATATCAGGAGTTTTCTTCTGCTCTTGAGAAGATGTTCAGATGTTTTACCCTAGGTGAGTTATTTCGATATAAAGATTTTAGGTTGTGGTTTTATATGTACGTATTTCTTGTTCTGTGCGGCTGTTATTTCTATGAAGACAGCAGTATTGGTTTACATGGGCCCAGTTACTGCTATTTTTCTATGATTCCAGGTCAATGTGGATCTCATGGAACCCCGGATAAGGAGCAGACGAGCAAAAGGAAGCTGGAGGATCTGCTGCGTGGATCAGAATTTGTTCTTACTTATGAGGATAAAGATGGTGACTGGATGCTTGTGGGTGATGTCCCATGGGAGTGAGCTCTAAGTCCCCCTTTTCATATTTTTGCTTCTTGTTTTGCGCTTTATGAAAATATCGATACTTCTGGAGAAGTAAAAAACATGCTAACTGAAGGTATGGTTATACAAAATGCACTCATAAGAGTAGAAAACAGAAATTGTTCCCGCCATATTGTTTTAGTATTCTATCGTCAAGCTTTTGGGTCTGTCCTAAGCTTTTATTGAAATGCTAAGAAGTTGGAACATCTCTGATTCGGGTGGGATGAGTAAAAAGTGTAAACTCAACTTCGTATATTATCTATAAGATTTTTGTGGAAGCCCTTTTAAATGGATAGGAACCCTTGTTCATTAATTCTAGAGGAAAAACTGTGTTATGGTAATGCATGCATACATGTATCATTCGTTGGATAACTTATTTGTTTGTTTTTACCCTCATAAAAGGGTGTTAAAACCATTGCATCGGCCAGGCGTGTATGCTTAGCTTATCTCAAGCTAAGAATGTTACTTGACCTGCAAAAACTTTTCGAAATAAATTCCGGTTTTTCCATATCATTCTTTTTTTCACTCAAACTTTTATGCTCCAGTCAAGTAACTTCATAGTTTAGTATGTTCCTGTTTGTCTGTGTTAATCTGAGTCAGAACATGTTGCTGCATTAGGAAATTCAGTTTATTAGTATTTATTTCTCAAATTCCGACTGGAATAATGTCAGTTAACTGCTGCCTAATTCCAATTCGGCATGTGTTTCAGGATGTTTATTGATACCTGCAAAAGGCTGAGGATCATGAAAAGCTCTGATGCCATCGGACTCGGTAACTATTTTTATATGTTTATACATCAACTGAGTGTACGTCATTAGCTAGTATTGAAACCAATTTTTATAATTTACATATCTGAGAAATGCCTAGATATACATGTTGGTAGTGTCGAGAATTATCCTACGATTATTCTAATGTTGACAAAAGCTTTTTTATGTGCCTCAACCTACTAGTTTGACATCTAACGTTTTAAACTGTCGCATAAAATTTTGGCAGTGTTCTATGACATGTAAATTATAGTGCAGTTTTCAGATTTTGAAGATATAAGCACTATGTATGAATGCAATTCCATGAAAAAATGCAGGAATCAGAGCTAGCTAGCGTCCGTAGATTATTTTCGCTATCCAAATCAGCAGCCTCTCCGGAGAAGATGTAGAAGCACTTTCGTGATTCTTTCCATCAGATGAGAGGATGCTGGAGCGGATAGGAGATCAAGTTTATCTATACGTTGCAACATTTATCTTTGTCTGGCGAGGGGATTCAAAACAAGTAAGCCTGTTTTTAGTGTAAGAAAGTTATATAAAAACCATCAAGACTTAAAACATTTGTGAGTAATTTTACGATTCAGTCGATTTAGAGTCCGGACCAAGTCATGTGTGTTCTCTATGGTGAAAGACCTCCACATTATCTGTAAAACCTTGCATGAATGTATCAAGTCTTGTGTGCTGGTAATGGTACTTGTATGATGTCTTGTTCTGCTTTAAACCATTCTTTTGCATGCATTTTAGTCGCATATTTTTTTTTCCCGATATGCCGCCTTACCTTTGCATGAACGAGGTAACCGGTCAGACAAGTCCGGCATAATTCATGAATATACCTACCGTCCGTTGTTTTGTTTGGTTTTTCACTTCAAGGCTTGTCGTATAAACTATAGAGATGGTGCCAGCCCTGTAGATATTGTTGTCGGGGAATAGCCCCAACAAAGCATGTGAGAGACGGCATTGTTGCCGACTTTGCTCAGAATAAATAATGTAAAACTATAGAGTGGGGGACCATATGAGGTTAAGGTTTCTGTGTGTGTGGGAAAACTATGTATGCTGTAACTTTGGGCACAAACTTCAGAGCATTGACCTAATAAGAGAAAATTCTCACTCCACTGGTATTAGGAATGGGTATGGTACCCAAACCCGACGAGTTCCAATCAGATCGGGTCGGGTTTTTTTTAAAAAAAAAAAACTTCGAGTTTGGGTGGAGTCGGGTTGGATTCGGGTTTAGAGTGAAAAATGCCCAACCCGACCCCACTCCACCCCAAAAAATATAATTTTAACTTATATTTAAGAATAATTACAATAATATCAAAATATAATTTTACCTTATATTTAGGAATAATTACAATAATATCTCTATATATATTATTTTTTAATTAAATCATTGTTTTTATTGAATAAAAATAATATTTTTTATTATTTCGGGTCAGGTTGGGTTCGAATTTTATTTCAAAAAGTCGGGTTCGGGTCGAGTGAAGGGTGTAAAATTTTTAGATTTGATCAGATTGACAAAAACCCGACCAAAACCCGACCCATGCCCATCCCTAAGTAGTACACATGACATTGTGCTTTCATCGATTCTGTTAAAATAAATTTTTTTGCATATAAAAAAATAAAATATATATATATATATATATATATATATATACAGAGATGTTTAGATCCTATTACGCAATGGAAAATTCATTTAGTTTTTAACCTCCAACAATCTCAAATCTGTGCAAAATTAAAACTTGATGCAAACCGAGAACGTATAGAAAAGATACGAAGAAGGTTGATTCATACCTTTCACTTGATATATATTTCTTTTAAAATTATAATATCCTTCAGAATTTATAGTTATATCAATACCAAATTATAAACAATACAATAAGCTATTTAATTTTTCAACATTTATCAAAGTGTAAATCACTTTGACGCCTGATTTTCTTTTAACTCGTGCCCAAACTGTATTTCCCCCCTCAAATTACCCAAAACATTATAAAGATATTTCATTTACCAAAAAGACACAAACACTGCCACAAGCATTGACTCACGGCTGACTAATACAGGTATTACCATATACAAAACTCCAGTTTTTTCTTTGCTATTAAAAAAGATAAACTACACGACTTAAACTGTTAATTTTGTTTCATTTTAATATCTAAATTTTTATTTATTTTAAAATCATACCTAACATTTATTTTTGTTTCATTTTAGTACTACACGGTTAAAAATTTAACGGAACTGTATTTTCTATGGGTAAATTACATGATCCATCACTTAATTACCTTTTACTCTTATTTTGATCACTAAAATTTAAAAGTTTTCAATTTAACTACTCAACTTTTAAATTATTCATGTCTTATTCACTCTAGTTTATTTTATTAATAATTGTTTTGACATTACTTTTTTATTATTATTTTGTTAATACATAAGTAAAATAAAAAAATTACATTTGAGAATTATGGTGATTAAATTAAGAGTAGCTTAAAAGTTAAGTAATTAAATTTAAAAAAAAATTAAACTTCAATAACCAAAATAGGAGTGAGAAGATAGTTGAGTGACGAATGATGTAATTTACCCATAAAAAAGTGTCATGCTGTAACAATTCCACTAAAATTTTAACGAGGTATAAATCGAAACAAAAAACAAATATTAAATATAATTTTGAAACAAATGAAATTTTAGGCACAAAAACAAAACAAAACTGTCAGTTTAGGTACTAAACGTGTAGTTTACCCTAAAAACCCAAGTATTTTTCTTTTTAAAACGACCGTGTCTGCAGCGCAGATAAAAGAAATGGTCCAAATGGATTAGATGGCTGAAAATAGCTAGTAAATGCCAACATGTAAGGACCTATTCAAGCATCCCAATTCTGAACAATAGCTTCAAGTTGCTAAACAAAACAACAAAACAAGGACGAGGTAAACGGAAAGTACTTTCCTTTGATTTTTAAGTATAGGGTTATATAACAATGGATGCACCCCCATCAAACACCACCTATTTGTGGAGTCGAGGAATGCAAGTTTCTCCTGAAAAATAACGAATTAAACCATAACACTGCAACTCTACAAGATTTTGTTCACAACAATATTCATACCGCAAAATTCTACAAAGAAAGACCACAAACCTTCTCTCTCTTTGCCAATGAGTATCTGCATTGCGTATTATATGATGATATGATTGTCCCAAATCTGGTCGGAGAAGTTGGAATAATGTGCCACCAGCAGAAAATATAGGCACAACTGTGACAAGAAAACAGCTTCAATAAGACACTTTCTTCACATCCATTATTTATACATATCTATAAAATAAAATCCAAGGCAAAAAAAAATGATTTACATATACATCAAAAGAACCAACAGCTCAAGAGATAACTCATGTCTGATCTAACACTTCTTTTCATTAGTTCTATAATCGCCATCTATTCACGTGTGTGTTTTTCTTTTTCCATGTTTTAGTGAAGGGCTATCTGTCAGATAACTGAAGTCAAGCTTACAGAAAGAGAAGAAACTAAATCTCATACCCGATTAAGCTGTCAACATAAAAGAATTGTAGATACAAGCTTCCATCACTTAACAGGCAAGGTGACCTCTACATTCTTCTCAAGTAGCCATCCTTTGGGATAAACAAGATTACCCATATCTAAATGGAGATGCCAGTTCATAATCCTCGAACAACTGTGTGGTATACCTTCCATTTGACTTTCATCTTCCACAACTTGTTCTATAAATGTAGTTTCCTGCATAAAAGAAACAATGAGCAAACCAAAGAATCATGCTGCAAAAATGGAAGATATAGTACGTTAAATTATAAAAACAAAAATGGTATAATTCATACTTGGAACCCCTCCTTTACTGTGTCTAGTTGTCGAACCGGGTTTGAGAAGGGGCGTCCCCATCTCTTTAGATCCCACAAGATAGTGCTGTTGAAAGCAAATCCCGACATATCAGCATGAAACCTACGAAGTCTTTTAATTTTCTCATTTGTGTGCCATCCAATTACTTGGCTAGCATTGCACACTGGACCTTCCAGAATTGCCTTGTTCTTGCTTTGTGCAAGCATGGCAACAGGCCAAGTTCCAAAACGGCTACAAAAGAAGATCCATATTATGGATTGGTGTATGACTAAGAAAAATTAGGCGAAGACAAAAATTACGATATAATTACACCATTGAAGAACTAAGAAAATGGTGAATTCCGACAAGTTATATCATTCAAAGCTAAGAAAAACCGTGTAAATAGTTAACACCAACTCCATTATCCATTTGAAAAGGGAAAACTTCTAATCAATCGAAAAGAGTTTTAAGTTAATTTCTCTCAAATGTCATTCAAAATGCAACAAAAACTATCGATACTATACAAAAGATGGAGAAAATCCTTCAAACATTGGACAACCGAAAACAGACGACCTGAACCATTTGCTCCGATGTCATATGGAAATTAAACTAGATCGAGTAGCTTGAATACTAAAGAAATAACAAGCTGATTTGATTCACAAACGAAAACCCCTAATGGATTCGGTTATAACAATCATTTACAGATAGTGAACCACCAACCACAAAACCAAAAATCACTTCCATTTTCCACTGCCCCCATCTCTAATTAATAGCCTAACAAAACAAGCTGTTAATAGAAACAATTCAATAATTATTGGCATCCCAATAAATACATCTCCAAAACTCCATTTTTAACCTAAATTTGTAATCCCCATTAACTCTATTAAAATCATATACTTAAAATTAAGTTACCTTATAGTTCTCAAGCTTTCAAACAACTCGAGCGTGTAGAAATTGTCTTCGTCGGCGAAAAACACGATCCCGTCGAGCTTATGCCGTTCAATATGTTCCAAAGCGGCGTTTCTCTGATGAACCGTTTGCTCCTTCACGCTGCTAGAGTTTAGAGTGGAAACCAAGTGCCGATACATAACCCCGGTTTTCCTCAAAATCTCCGCCGTCTCAAGCGACGCAGCTTTCTCCTCCACCACCATCCAAACCAACGGCGGTTTCACTAACCTCAAAACTTGCCCTAACCTGTTCAAGAAATACGCCTGGAATCCCCGATTACAAGTCGGGGTAATGACGATTAACTGCTTTAACGGCTCAATTAAACCGGCAACTTCCTTTTGTTCCGCCAATCTCGTTGTAACGCCCAATGAAACAGAAGACACGTATTGCTCGTCCAATTGGAGATTGACAGGTGGCGGCTTGAGGTCGGGGAAAGCGAGACCCTTGGCTCGGACATCGGTATCCGTGTATCCAAACGGAGCAACTCCGAAAATAAAACCTACAGCGAAAAATAAGAGACACCTGCAAAAAGACCGCCGCCACCCTTTGCGGTACACTAAATAAACGGCGGTTAACAAAAGCCGTAAATGCGAAGACGAGGAAGACGAGGGGAAGTGTTTACCGCTTCCGTTGGGTAAAAACTTGTTAGACGGAGAGGAGAATCCGGCGCTGTTCTGGTATGAACGGTCGCGATGTGCTGGAGAGAGAGTTCGACGGATCGAAGCCATTAGATTAGTGAATTTAAAGGAAAATCACATAATTGGATCTTTAAGATTTGAATGAAGTTTAAGGGCAGAGCTGGAATTTTGTTTTGAGCGCGTAGGCTGAGGCGGAGAACTGCTTCTCTTCTTCTTCGTTTAAGTTTTCATTTCACTAATAATTAAAAGGGTACAAAATGGTCAAAAAGTATGACGAAATAATCTTTTTTGTCACCAAAGTTATAATTTATTTTAAAAAATCATTAAATATTTTAAACTATTACAAAATAATCATTACATTTTATCAAATTATTATAAAGTTGGTCAAATCATTTCAAAATAGTCTTTAAGCTCATTAAAATTTATCTATGCTATCATTTAAAGTGATTATTTTATAACAGTTTGATAAATTAATGATTATTTTAAAATTTTAAAATTTTAGTAGTTAAAAAGTTATTTTAGTATAACTTAGTGACAGTATGTGTATTTTACTCTTATTAAAATTATGCCTAATTCTAGATAAATTTGGTAAATGTAATGTATTGGTACATGTAATATGACAAGAGAACATTTGGGTCCTTATACTTTTAAAATGAGAAAAATAAATATAATACTTATATTTGGTCCTTGTACTTATTTAAGCAAGCATGGGAGAAAAGAAAACTGTCATGAAAAGATTGAGAAGAACTCAAAGGGCGCCTCACTTCTTGAGTTCATATCACCTTCAGAACTTGAGAGAAAGCTGTGGAGGAATACCAAACAGTATTAACTGGAGAAGAATTATTGTGGCTTCAAAAATCTCGTTCGAATGGATCGTCAAGGGTGAGTGAAGCACTAAATTCTTTCACCTTTCATCGATCATTCGACCTTCTCGAAACAAAGTAACTAATTTATTCATAAACGATGAATGATGTACTGACCAAAAATATTGAAGTTACTGTTCAACAGGAAAGATACCATTGCTTTGAACTACACTTATGATCACTTCAGACCAAAATTAAACAATGAAGAAAGGATGAGCATTACTAAGAAGGTAATTATAGAGGAGATACAAATAGCACTGTCCTCAATGAAAGATTAAAAGTCCCAAAGATCATATGAGATTCAACCAATATTTTACAAACAAAATTGTGAGACTCTCCTCAAATTCATTCAAAATGCTTTCGGAGTAGGCTGTTTTGATGCTCAGGCGTTAAAAACATACATGATTTTAATCTCGAAGACTCAAGTTCATGATCGTATAAATCGACCGATTAGTCTATTCAACACGTCATATAAAATCCTGTCAAAGGTACTGGTACAACGGTTGTTACCTATCTTACAACGGATCATAAGACCTTTCCAAAATAGCTTCTTAGCGGGCAGAAGCTCAACGGATAATATAATTGTAGCTCAAGAGATGGTACATACTATGATGAACTTAAAGGGTTGTAAAGGTGCAATGATATTGAAAATCGACTTACAAAAAGAATATGGCAATGTTAATTAGAACTTCTTATGAGGGATACTTAGTAAATACAATTTCTCGAATAAAATAATATCGCTATCGCTAATCATGGTCTGTGTTGAAATCATCGCAATTGAAATCATTTGGAATGGCCAAAAAAATAGAAAGTTTCCTCCCACGGCAAGGATAACATCAAGGAGATCCTTTATCCCTTTACTTATTCATCCTAGTCATAGAAAAACTATCACGTATGATATTGGAATGAGAGAACCAAGGCTAAGACGCCCTATGCTCCTCCAAAATTAGTCACTATTACTATAAGATGTTGAGAAACAAATATATCCTCCGTCAACTCACCTAAGACGACCATCCTCTACTAACGAATAAATTATAAAGACGCCCTCGACAAACATATCAAAGACTGCATTGATTGTGCTCTCTACCCAAGCGAAGGGGTGAATTGTCTACGGCCGATATAATTCATTCTTCCCTCAACCAGAAAACATCCAAATGAGATCATAAAAAGATCATTATATTCTACGATGAATCTCGGGTCAAGTCATTTTATGGCATTCCTCTGGACTAAGAGGGGACAAATTGTTATACATCTAAAGACGTCCTCTGGAAACCTCATAGTCTCATCCATATTGGATCTACCAGCACTTCATCAACAATCCTTTAAGATGCTCGTATACTCCCAGTATAGAAACTCAAGTCAACTACAGTGTATAGACAATACCTCTGACAGGTCCATATGACTTACCAGAGCGAAATTCATTGTTTGACGACAAAATTTACATAGTTTATCTACCTTCAAATAGTCATAATAACCCTATGATTGACACTTGCACTAAAAGCCATTTTAAATATCCCAATCGAAACAAGAATGGGGTTGGATCCCTGTAGCCTCCACTACTCTCTTATCATCTTCTTCTCCTCGACCCTCTCCTTCATCCAAACATCGATCGTGACTCTTTGTCCCAATCAGAAGGAGAGAACCGTTCATGGCCGACAAAATCCTCTTGTTCTCGCCAACAATCTTATATTTTTTATTATTTATTATAATAATTTAATTTTAAATTTATTCAGTTAATTAAAAAAATTAAATGATTAAACAATTTTTTATACATCACTAGAAATATTATATTCGAAACATTACTCTAATATTTCGAAACGACAGTGTATTCTTGTTTTATATAAAAAGTGCTCTTATATTTATTATTATTTTTTAAATAGATTAAAGAAATTAATAAGTGTTCCAAATTAAATATCGTTTGATATTTAGAAGTTGTGAGGGATTAATTATAGTATTAATAAATAGTGCCGAGTACACGCGAAGTGCATCTCTAGTTTTGTTGTAGGTACTTGATGTGATATTTTTGCTAATCATTACAATATTTCCGAATAAAATCAATTTATACTGTACTTAACAAGTAACAACCTAACTGCCTTCTATTCTTATATGAATTTAATCAAGGGTGTTACTGTTTATTAGACAATTAAGTTTAACTTAATATATGATATGCATATTCTTTATATATATTTTCATTATTTTCTTCCCTACCTTCTATTATTTTAATTTTGATTAATACTCAATCAAAATTTAAAATAATCGTTAAATATTATTAATTCTTTGGCAAAAAAAACCGATCTCTCGATAAATTTAAATATTGAATTATAAAATTATAAGGTGAAACTTGGGTTTTGGCTCTAAATATAAGGGCCACAATGCTTAATAAAAGAACTAAACCTATAGAAATTAGACATGTGCCGAAGATAATTGATCTTTATATTTGGGAATTGAGATCTTATCATATTGAACCTAAATTGGGCGGCTAGCTGGTGACAAGCCAACCAAATATTGATGACAGGCTGTATTTGTTGAATTTGTCAATCGATTGCACCTTTTAACATTGTATATATGGCTTACCTTTCACATGCAACATAAAAAAGATGGTTTCCAAGAAGATTTGTTTGGGAATTTCCATTGATGTGGAGATCACCCCATGTTACCAATTACCAATTCCAATGTGGTTTGAATTTTGGACAGACACATGCCCATCCACACCATTGTTCTTGTTATACTTGTCCTAAACTCATTGTATTACGTATTCATACCTAATATTCATATCAGAAAATTCCACATGTTTTCACAATAACATCTTTATTTTTTCTTTTTCACTTTTTAGTGAATTTAATACGTCCAAGGATAACTAAGGGTAGAAAAATAAGAATGATTTAGATTAGAGCCTATTACTATGATGTTAAGTGTTAAATAAAACTTCAAAACAACTAGTGCCAATGACTTGATTAACAAATTATATATTTCAGTCTACCGTTGTTATCAATGCAACATGGAGTAAAGAAACAAGAAAAATACCATAAGAATCAGAGTGGAAAAAGTCTTGATAGGACGTGTAACTAACAATCTCACGTTAGAAGTTTAATTTATAATGTATAACATTTTTAAGTTGAAATTAATTTAGAATTATCTGATAAGTTAAATGCAAGTGTCTCTGAATAAAAAAAAAGACCATCTACACAATCTCATATTACCACGGACCAAGCGACTTCAATCGGAAAAGATTTATTGTTATTTTTTTGAAGTTTTTGAAGTTCTGAGCACGAGCATTAGAATGTTAAATGTATGAACGTTTAATGTTGAATGATTGAAAAATAACTTTTGACAAATAATATCTGTATTTACCCATTAATAAAAAAACTTAGAAGGAAATAACAAAACAACAATATGGACCCAATGGCAATAATTGGGCAAGTGTATAAATGGCAAGTAAAGTTTCTACATCATTTTTTCAGGAAACTTTCTGCCATTTAGATGGGCTTCCTTGTATCTTTTAAATTAATCCATGGACCCAAATAAAATTCACTGGTCTGAACCATTACCCAAAAATTTAACCCATCTATCGGAGGAACTTTCAGTAATAGGTTATAGGGTAAACTACATATTTAGTACCTAATTTATTACTTTTGTTCCATTTTAATACTCAAACTTTACATTCTTTTCAAAACCATACCTCATATTTAGTTTATGTTTCAATTTGGTATTGTCGTTAAATTTTTACAGAATTGTTGATCTGATATTTTTTTTATTTTTTCAATGATGATGTAACATTACCTTATGATGACACGTCAAAATCATTATTAAATTTTTAATAGAGAGGGTATCAAAACGAAATATAAACTAAACATTATGTATAATTTGAAATAAAATAAAATTTAAGTACCAAAATGAAACAAAAATGATATTTTAGGTATTAAACCCTAAATTATATTATCCTCCATTATGTTTTCTCCCATTATTATTAAAAATAAATTTAATTATCATTTATCGTTATTCATAATATGACTTATTCTATTAAAAATAAAATAAATATGACTTATTCAATTTATAAGTAAGTCTCTTATATTTGCAGCTCAATTTTAGCCCATATGTTTTCAGCCCACTCGTATAACTTCTATGTCCTTTATAATAAGACCGATCAATAAAAATCAAATTCATCTTAATTTTTATGTATTTGATTTTCGAATTTTATAATTATTTTTTTATTTTATAATATAAATAATTTTTTATTATAAATATGAAACTAACTTAAAAATATGATTATTTTATTTACTTGAACATAATTCTTTTAAGAATATTATGAAAACATTCAAATTTTAAACAATGTTTAA